TTGCCTTCAGCATATAGTGTCATCTGTGTATTGCCTTCAGCATATAGTGTCATCTGTGTATTGCCTTCAGCACATTGCGTTCTAAGCTTATTGTGCCTTCAGCATATCGTTTCTTTATAAAGTTACGTGTATCTTCAGTTCCGTGTGCCTATTATTCGTAGTTATCTGTTCATGTTCTAAATTGTTAATTAGTTGAGCTATTCCGTTAGTCATTATTGTTGCAGTTGTCTCTGGTTAATAGATACTTGTTTATCCGGCTTTCATTCCTCGTTTGTTGAGGTTCGGCGGTAGTCTCTGGGCGGAAATTTATCGAATCTAATTGGAGTCGTCCTGATTGAAACTTTACATGAGGTTCTAATCAACAATCAAAGAATATCCTTTAAATCCTGGTTTTTGTGAAGATCTCTTAATAAATAACTATCCTAGACTATCTTCCGAGTCCGATTATTTTTTAGTTCGAAATAATAATTAATAAATATTAAACGTGGAGCCTTTGGACCTTGCAGAGAGAAAAATTTTTATATGCTTACTAAGATTCACAAGGATAAACTATATTTCGTCGTATATTTATTATATATTATATAATATAATATTATATTGTAACATACTGAGCATTGTAACCACAAAGAAATAAAAAATATTGTAGGGGTTCTGAAGTTCAATAGTTACATTTTTTAGCTTACTTAGATTATTCACTAATAGTTTCATGTATCTTTTCTTGCTTACTTATTTATCAAACATTTTAGATAAAACACGATTTTTTATTTTGAAGATAACATAAGAGCTTATTTGTCAGGTATATAAACTACAATCTCTCGAATAAAGCGTTTGTAAAGTAAAATTATGATACGTAAGAAATGTAATTTCCATTTGTTTCTTTAATCATCAGTATGACATCAGAAGTAAATTTAATCTGGTTGCAAAGTCCGTAGACTTTAATGTGGATTGCAGCATCACTCCTTAGTTATCTACTTATACACCCAACACAAGTTTTCGTCATTTAGAGCAAATCTCACATAATCCGATGTTCATTCCACAAATGTTACTGTAATACCTATAAAATAAAAGGCATGAATGTGGCATTATTCGCTCTGTTCTGTGTTTTTCGTTAAACATTATTGTTACCTCCGAATTTAAGCTGCAAAATTCACTCCTGCTATGTAAAAATCCGTATTAATTAGCTGCTCCACCGAAGAAATGCTAGTTTTTGTCACATAGACTTACTATGGTAAAATTTTCGAATTTAACATCCTATTCGTCTGTTTCATTTCTTAATAATAATATTATTATACCGATGAAAAAATACTATGGAGGTACTAGAAAGACCAGATAGCGGTGGTTCAGTAAACCTATTCCAAAGCTACACATATTCGACGTAACGGCGCTACAATTGCCAGCATATATACGCTGGCGCAACACGACACACTGTTAGAAAAATTACAGTTAACGGTATTACCGGCGTTTCAGTGGCCGATCAGCACGTGAAATAAAACACCGTGTTGCCGTTTTTATTCTAATTCAACACTAAAAATCCCTAAAACCTCTGATAAAAACGGCGAAATAGTTTATTTTCACTAGAACGCCAGTGGGACCGTTTCTTCACCGTTTTTTCTAACAGTGCAAGCACTCGCAGGAAAATTGATGTGTCATACTGTCCAAATAGTGACATGGCTTCTGCAGGTATAATTGATACGCCTTTTTGCCGGAACCAACTATGTCAGAATGGTTATATCATTAGGTATGCATGCTCTCAAAGTTATTCTGGTTTCTATACTTCAATGATCCAAACAACAGAATGCAATCATTGCTCTCTAATATCAAAACCTGCCTCATCGAAAACTTTTGTATAAAAATGTAATTTATCCTCACGCGGCAACAAGAATATTGTATCAATGTTTTATGCAGTAAATCTTTTATTATATACAAGAGCTTAGCTACAGCATTGTAACTTTTCGTAGATTTTAGACATCGACGTTGTAAGAAGAAACGACTTCATTTTAAAATAAATTTCGCCTTCTTTAAGAGATGAGGCTCGCTTATTACACCCACTGAGCCCTTGTTCTTATTTGCCTAATTTTTAACCAAGCTTGCGAATTATCGTTGTACTGACCCTAATATCTATTAGCCTCGTTTGTGTTTAAATAAAATGCCTTGCATGCATGTTCATGCCTTGCATGAACAACGATATTCGTGGGGTTATTCCAGCTTATTTTGATGGAGACTTATGAGACAGCGTTTCTACGCTCATTTTATGTACCGTAAAGTTAGTTTCTTCTTTCCAAGGTTTCTATAGAGTTATTAAATATTAATAATGTCCATTAATGTCCTGGTGAATTAGTTTTGACCACGTGCTTACAACGAGTGACGAAATGTACGGCATTATGAATAAATTCGTTGTTATCTAAAAGACAAATTTTCGAACCTGTACAATACTAATTTCTGATTGTAATTTTAATATTCGCGGAAATACGACTATTTCCCGTCTCTAGGTTCATGTAGTGTGTAAGTTAATCAACTTGACTAGGGAACAATTTTCAGTATTACAATTTCTGGGAAAAATTAGAATACATTTTTTATTTCCTAAATTTGTTATCTTTTCTCTTTAAATTCTTTCCTTCCGTAGATGTTATTCAACGTTTGGGTTATGAACATTATTTCATGTACGCGTTATAGGTTTACGTGACGCAGAAACACATAAGCGTCGCATACGAAACGAAAGTTCTGTCGGATAATTATGCCTACATTGTGAATGCAAAAATTCATTAAGACACACAATACATGATAGTGAGAGTAATATAATTTTATTATATTGGATGCGAGTTCAAATGAATTCGCAACGGAGTTTGTTGGCCTTCTAACTTTGACATGCAATAAGACGATTAATGTGAGCAGATGGAGTCTTATAAGTTATTTTTCTAGAAGATCAAAGTGAAGTCAGTGCAGTGCATGAAGATCAATGTAAAGGCAATGAAGCGAATTCTATCCAAGAACTTAAATCGTACGTTGATTGTTGCCTTTATAAAATAAATCTTCAGTATGAAGTTTAATCGCTTACTAGTGCACGTTTTTTGTTATCGTGTGCAATATTAAACATATACCTATGATTATTATTCAAGCTAAAAAGTACATAATATATTTTCTCGTACAACCAAATTACACGGACTTATTTCCTGTCGTACATTGAATTTACGATCATTCGATGCCCCTCTCGACATTTTAGTTTATTATAGGTATAAATAAACATGTTGGTCTATAATAATCCGAAAAAATTTAAATACTTATTTTTTTACTAAAATAGAAGTAAATATATACGGTATATAATAATAAGTAAACTTGTGCTGCGATGCTTAAAATACAACAGACTCTTGGGCCTTCATAACATGGCTCCCGGCGAGACGTTTTTAGTTGACAGAGAGCGACGCCTGCGCTTGCCTGAGGCTTGTGACGGAACAACACAAATGCATGGTCACAGCCCGATCACTCAGAAAAATAGATCGGTGTATTCTCCATATGGTGGGACACTATATTTCCCACAGTAGGAGCTTAAGAGCTTAATTTATACAGTAAGAGCTTAATTTGTATTATTAAGATATAATTCAAAAAGGAAAAACATTCGTGAAATGTAGATGCTTGTGGAATGCAGTATTCAGAGCTTGTACAGTGTACATAAACTTTTGCCTTGTTTGCTGTTTCTATTGTACATCTAAGTAACCTACCATTAATAGAGTATAACAACTCAAAATTTATTAATCGTCTTAGCGACCAACCATTAATAGAGTATAACTACTCAAAATTACACATGAAGTGGGACTCCTTGCTTTACCTTAAACCTTCTCTAATTCAGACCAACATTTAATGGCAAGGAAAAGGAAGATTTATAAACCGAATCATTTCGATCATCCAGTATCTATAGGTTTAAAGGCTAGTAGCAGGTTTATATTAACGAATAAAATGATGAGTCACGTCGCAGAGAATCAATATCTTATTTCACAAGTGACATACATATGTAATTTTATCCATGAACTCATGTGCAAATACAATTAGACAATTATCCACATGTCATTAACGTTTAGAATGTTCTACGCACTTTCATTGCAATCAAATTTATGTTTTTTACGTTGTAATCCTTCACATTTAATCAGAAAAATAAATGGGTCATACTTTCAAAATTATGACCCATTTTCTTACCTACAACAGGAGGAGAAAATAGACTAACACCCTTTTGCCAGGTTTAACTGGCTCACGATTACCCACACGAAAGAAAACAAATCATCGCTACTGGGACAATGAGCTACTCATTTCACAGAGTGCACCATGCACCAATCTAGCGCTCAGTCATAAACCTGACATATAACAGGTATGGTTCCTTCTGAACACGACCTAGGATGAATTGTGACGTCGTACCACTCCTGCGTCCTGCAGGGTCCGGAGGTGGTGCTCAGTTTGATCTCGCAGTCGTTGAGGGGAGTGCCATCGCTCCAGTACATCGAGATGTTCAGGTGGTGCCAAGCCAGACATGGTCCAGAACATCGAGTCCAGATGGCTGTGAATTAAGATTTTGACCAAATATTTATCGTAATTAAAACTCATTACTCTGAGATAACATATGTCATATATTTACATGGATATTCTCATAACGGTTTACCTCCAGTTTTTCCGCCAAGCTGCTGGTTTAGGAGCTGCATTTCTGCAAAGCTGGACACCACGGCAAACTCGTAGCCCTCGGAGGTGCAGAAACCGGCTGAGTCCAGCGAACTTGGAGTGCCGTTGCCTATGATGCCGGTGCTCAGCACGTAGCGTTTTGTGCCCTGAAGTCCATGCGGGGAAAAAATAACATTAGTTTTTACGTAAAACGCCGAATGACAATTGTTAGTTACTACAATCTTTCTACCATAGCCCTACTTCCTACCAAAACCTACCAGAAACGGTCCATCACAACACAATAAACAGAAAAATGATGATACAGTCCCAGCCTTCTTGTGTGAAGGTGTTCCATGAAGCTTTTCACTCTCTTTTATAGAAACAATGTCAGGAACTTCCATTAGCAATAACCCTCAAATTCCAACGGCACACTATTAAATGAACGAATGTAATACTTGACTGTAATAGTACACTAGTGTCTCACAGGTTTAGCAGGAGGCTTGGAGTACACGGAGTACACGGAGCAGTCTACCCTGGAGTACTTTACTGTAATAGTACACTAGTGTCTCACAGGTTTAGCAGGAGGCTTGGAGTAGACGGAGTACACGGAGCAGTCTACCCTGGAGTACTTGACTGTAATAGTACACTAGTGACTCACAGGTTTAGCAGGAGGCTTGGAGTAGACGGAGTACACGGAGCAGTCTTTCCTGGAGTAGTCCGTCAAGGCTGGATGTGTGCCGCTGAGCGTCACTTGGCAGTTCAGAGCAGAATTGGGGCAGAAGTTGAACGTGCGAGACCCGGAGGCGGCCGTCTTCGTCGCGCACTAAAAAACAACCATGAAACATTGTTAATTTCTTCACCACTATTTCCTTGTCAACATTCCAGCGAATTATTGAAAACTTTTCAACTATGATGTTAATGAAGAAAATGTACAATAGTACATTTCTTTGTTGTACAATAGTACATAGTATTCTCTACAATCTACGCATTATTTCAGTTCAACGTTTGAATTCATCAATATGATCTTAGATGCTCAATCCAAAACAATAAGAAAAAAAAAATAAATGTTCAATGAAATCGACATTCAATAAAAAATGTATCTACATTTATCTTCTCGAATTCTATAATTGTCAAATTTGTAACATTCAATTCATACTTCACATTTTTGCAAATTTTATTTGTATTTCGAATTGACGGTTACAAATTATCTGCAACTTCTCAAGTTGTTGATCTGCAGATTGGTCAGTTGAAAACAAAATCCCACCAACAAAAATTTCCAAAATTTTGGTGATCCGAAATTCAAATCAATCTGCTCGGCCAATCAAGCGGATTAATCTTAGGTAATTTGGAATCGAATAAAACGATTTTATAATTGGTACACCTACTATAAAAAAATGTTAAAAACTTTTACCATCTTGTCAAGATAAAATATCTAGTGCAATAAATTGCCATAGCAGTGGCAGCTGACTTTTCGTCAAAGTTACTGTAAATTTTGCATTGAATTTAATTTTAACCAGAATATTTACAAGCTTATTCTATGGTTTGAATTTTGACCAGAATATTTACAAACTTTTAATAATGTTTGAATTTTGACCAGAATATTTGCAAACTTTTTCTAAGGTTTGAATTTTGACCAGAATATTTACAAACATTTTCTGGGGTTTGAATTTTGACCAGAATATTTACAAACTTTTTCTAAGGTTTGAATTTTGATCAGAATATTTACAAACTTTTTCTAAGGTTTGAATTTTGATCAGAATATTTACAAACATTTTCTAAGGTTTGAATTTTGACCAGAATATTTACAAACTTTTTCTAAGGTTTGAATTTTGACCAGAATATTTACAAACTNCATTCTCATGTATGAACATTATTCGAAGTAGAAACCATTGCATTGAAAGTTTTGCTCAGTAAATGAGTTAATTCGTGTCACCAGCCAACAGCATGAAAAATCTGCTCACTGAATGACTGACAAATAACAGGTGCAGGAAAAAAACAATTAAGACCTAGTCCAAACTGTAACGTTTTTCCACTGTTGCGCCTTCAGCTGCCGAGGGTGGTACTCAGTTGGATCTCGCAGTCATTGAAGGAAGTGCCAACGCTCCAGAACAGCGAGGTGTTCAGATGGTATCACACAAAGCACTGCCCCAGAACACATATAGCTTTTATTGCAGCAAAACAAGCTTTTTAAAAATTTATAATGTTTTTCACATTACATCACCAATCATGACACAATTCGATTTACTATATTTTCCAAATTATAATATTGGTAATTATAACATATATAGATTTAACATCATTTAGGGTTTCAAAATATTTCACCTCCAGCGTGTCCACCGAGCTGCTGGTTGAGAAGCTGCATTTCAGCCTGGCTGGACAGCACGACAAACTCGTAGTCCTCGGAGGTGCAGAAGCCAGCCGAGTCCAGCGCACTCCTGCTGCCATTGATGGTGATGTCTGCGCTCAGTACGAAGCTTTTTGTGCAGCGGCCATACTTTCAAAACTCGCTAAGTGAACGTGAGTACTTACGCTCTATTTTCTTGTCTATGATTGGTGGATTTTACTTGAAATGCCGTCAATGATTGGCTAATGAACTTACGATCTCCTAACTTTTTTTGAAAGTATAGGACCCGAAGTGTATGTGGCAAAAAAACTACTACTATTTCTTCGGTAGAGCAGCTAATTACTACGGATTTCTACAGAGTAAGAGTGATTTTTGCAGCCTAAATTCAGAGGCAACAATAATTATAATTTTTCAAGAAAAATTTAGAACAGAGCGAATAATGACACATTTAAACAATTTGTGCGAGTACCTATTTCAGTAAAATTTTAGGAATTAACATCAGATTGTACAAAATTTACTCTAAATCACGAAAACCTGAGCTGAGTGCATAAGTAGATAACTTGGGCGTGATGCGGCAATCCATATTAAAGTCTACGGACTTTGCAACCAGGATTTAATTTACTTCAGATGTCATGCTGCTGTTCAATGTAACTAATGGGAGTTACATTTCTGACATGTCATAATTTTCCTCAACAAACGCTTTATTCAAGAGATTGTAGTTTCTCTGTTCCTCTGTTATCTTCAATACAAAAATCTTGTTTTTTCGGATATGCTTCATAAATAGATAAGCCAGATAATATGTACGAAACTATTAGTAGATAATCTAGATAAGCTAGAATACGAGCAACTATTGTAGCTCAATTTCCCTAATTTATTTTTTTATCTTTTGGTGATTTCATTCAGTGAAAATTTCCAAATTTAGCATCCTATTCGTCAATTTCATTTCTCATTAATAATATTCTTATACTGAGTAATAAATGCTATAGTGGTCTTAGAATGACCAAAAAGTGGGGTTCAATAAACTCCATTCCGATGCTCCATATATCCGACGCCGGATATATGAAAGTGTAGAAAAGTACTGGCGGGCACATGAATATATGAAGAGAATGGCTAATGACTAATTTCTATTGCCGCCACAATACAAACAAATATACGCTGGTGCAACACGACAAGCACTCTCAGAAAAATTGATGTGTCATACTATCCAAATAGTGACATAGCTTCTACATGAATCATTGATACGCTCTTTTTTTCGGAACCAACTATGTCAGGATGATGATGTCATTAGGTACGCATACTCTCAAAGTTGTCTCTGTTATTTCACTTCCATGATCAGGACGACGGAATGCAATCATTGCTCTTTAGCATCAAAACATGCCACGTGAACGTGCCTCTTCAAAATATTTTGTATAAAAACGTAATTTATCTGCACGCGGTAACAAGAATATTGTATCCATGTCTTATGCAGTAATTATTTTATTTAATGCACGAGCTCGGCTACAGCATTGTAACTTTTAACAGATTTTTAGACATCGACGTTGCAGGAAGAAACTACTTCATTTCATGATAAATTTCACCCGCTTCAAGAGATTAGGCTCGCTTATTACACCCACCAAGCCCTTGCTCTTATATGCCTTATTTTTAACAAAACTGGCGAATTATCGCATGACTGGTCTTAATATCTATTAGCCTCGTTTGTGTTTAAATAAATAAATGCCTTGCATATAAATAAAATAAAATGATATAAATAAAATAAATAAAATGACTTGCATGCATGAGTAAACAACGATATACGTGGGGTTATTCCAGCTTATTTTGATGGTGACTTATGAGACAGCGTTTCTACGCTCATTTAATATCCCTCAAAATTAGTTTCTTTTCCGAGTTTTTCATAGAGTTATTAATAATTCTTAATATCCATTATTGTCCTGGCGAATTAGTTTTGTCCACGTGCTTCCAACGAGCGTCTAAATGTACGGCTTTCACAATAAATTCATTATAATCTTAGAGACAAATTTATAATCAACTTGCAAAAAACTTATTTCTGACAGTGATTAATATACGCGCGGAAATACAATTAGTTCTCTTCTCTAGGTTCTATGCAGTATGTAAATCAATCAACTTGACTCGGGAAACAATCTTCAGTATTACAATTTCTGGGAAAAATTTGCATAAATTTTTCATTTCCTAACTTTGTTATCTTTTCTCTTTAAATTCTTTCCTTCCGTAAATATTATTCAACATTTGGATTATGAAAAGTATTTCACGTATGCGTTATAGGTTTAACGTGACGCACATTATGCATGCAAACAATTTATTAAGACACACAATACATGATAGTGAGAGTAATATAATTTTATTATATAGGATGCAAATTCAAATGACCTCGCAGTGGAGTTTGTAATTGTCGATTCTGTTGCCTTCTATTTACAATAGGACGATTAATGTGACCATAGTTTTTATATTGCTGTGAACAGATGAAGTCTTATAAGTTATTTTTCTAGAAGATCAAAGTAAAGTCAGTGCAGTGCATGAAGATCAATGTAAAGGCAATGAAGCGAATTCTATCCAATAGCTTAAACCATTCGTTAATTGTTACCGTTCTAAAATTAATCTTCAGTATGAAGCCTAATCGCACACTAGTGCACGTTTTTTGATATCGTGTGCAAGATTAAACATATACTTATGATTATTATTCAAGCTAAAATGTACATAATATATTTGATCTGACAACCATATTACACGGGGAATCAATTCCTGTCGTACATTGAATTTTCGATCATTTGATGCTCCTGTCGACATTTTAGTTTATTATAGGTAAATCTAAATATATTAGTCTATAATAATCCGAAAATTTTTAAATACGTATTTTTTCTAAAATAGAAGTAAATACATATGGTATATCATAATGAATAAACTTGTGCTGCGATGCTTAAAATACAACAGACTGTCTTGGGCGTTCAGAATGCGGCTCCTGGCGAGCCATTTTTAGCGGACAGAGAGCGACGCCTGCGCTTGCCTGAGGCTTGTGACGGAACAACACAAGTGCGTGGTCGAACACAGCCCGATCACTCAGAAAAAAACAACGATCATATTGTCCATATGGTGGCACACTAGAGCTCCCACAGTAAGAGCTTAAGACATTATTTTGAATGTTGATATATACCTGAAATTTATATTATTGAGGTATAATTTAAGAAGGAAAAACATACATTCAATAATGTGTTAGACCTTTTTTGAATGCAGTATTCAGAGCTTGAATATCAACATTTGCCCTGTTTGTTCTTTTTATTATCCATCAAAGCGACCGACAATTAATAGAATACAACTACTCAAAATTTATTATCCATCTAAGCGGCTGACCATTAATAATAGAGTATAACTACTCAAAATTACA